ACGGTTACGAAAAATTACACAGACAATATTTTTTTATTTTATGTGTTGTGATATATCGTTCTCATTTTCTATAAAAACACTTGTTATAGTGTGTTTATTCTGATGGAAAAAATTTTAATTAATATTATTATACTGCATATATGTACATTTATACCCTTCAAAGACAGATATATTTGCTTTTCTTAATTTTTTCTGTAACCAAAACTTTGAATTTTTTTCCACTGTTATTTCATGGATACAAAGAATGCCTAATCTTAATTTCATTAAAATAAATATCCTAACTATATTTATTTTAAAAAGCAAGATAAGTCAAAAGCACTGTAAAACGATTAATTCATATGATTCATGAAGATAATAACAATACCAAGCAATGTATGGCTCAGCGCAAGTTATGTTCGACTTGTAATCAACTGTTCATGGGTTCAAATCTTGGTTCACGCTATCGTTGGAGAAATTACCACTCTGTTGCTCATGATACGTGGGTGTTATATCATAGCTTCCTATGATGCGTCAGCTCAATTTCGACACAGAGTGTTAATAATTTTTAATTTTTTTGGGGGAAAAAAGTAAAGGCGTTCTAGCGCATCTTGTATCTAGACGAGTTTAGACGCATTTGCTTTTGGATGCGTCCCACGCTTGAAAATGTTGCATTTTGGACGAATCCTAACGCGTCTTCCAATGTAAACGACTTATGATACGTTTAGATACCGAACGAGTGGGGACTCGTCAGGTTACCCTGGATGCGTCTGCATCCCCCGAAAATGTTGCATTCTAGATCTGTCCTGATGCGTGAACTGCTATCGTTCACAAACGCTCAGAGACGCGTTACGACTCGAAAAAAAAGTTACATGGGTGGTTAAACCAAATTTTTGTGTCACGCTTTCAAATGTTTTAATAAATTTCTCTAAATCAGCAACACTTTCACACATTACAACTAGGTCGTCGGCATATAATAGTGCCAATATATGAAATTCGAAGTGTTTCTCCCACTTCCATGAAAGAAGTCATTACTGCCATATGAGAACTTTATCCCTGATATCGCAGCTTCATAAATGGCTTTTCTAATAATAACTTCAAACAAAATTTTGAATAGTATTGGTGAAGGAATGCCTCCTTGCATTACTCCTGTTTTTATTTCAAAGCTATCTGACATTTCCCCGCTTATTTTGTCTTTAGCTATTGAGTCATTATAGAGCATTTTTAATAGCTTAACCAATTTCTCAGAAATGCCGTAACTGAGACATACTCTCCACAATAGTTCACGATTGACCGAGTCATGCGCCTTTGCGATATCAATGAAGCACATGAATAATGGCTTATGGAACACCTTTCTTCTTTCCATTGTCATTTTTTAAGTGAATATTTGATCCATAGTAGATCTGTTTGGTCTGAAACCAGATTGTATCTCAAGTAGTTGACCGTTTATTAGATCTTGAATACGATTATGTATGATACGTGAGAATATCTTACTTGTTATATTCAATAATGCGATACCTCTGTAATTATCACGAATTTTTTTATCACCTTTATTTTTGTATAATCTGATTAGAGTTGTCACGCTCCATTCCTTTACCATCTGTTCGTTAATCCATACATCAGCGAAGCGTTTAACAAGCCATCTTAAAACTGGCTCACCACCAGCTTTTAGGATATCAACTGTCATTTCGTCACTATCTGGAGCTTTTCTTGACTTCATTTGGTTTACCGCTTTTCTGACCTCTATAATAGAGGGTTGAGCATTCTGCCTATACTCTTCAGTTGTTGACAGAGTTAGTATTTGAATTTGATCAATCAGATCTTGATCAATCGATGTACATACGTTGAGAGATCCAAAGAAAAATTCTCGTCAACGATTCAAGATGCCTCTTGAATTTACAAGCAGTTTCCCATTTCTATCTTCTACTGGTATATTTTCCACGCTTTTACTTTCTCCTTTCAGACGTCTTATGACGGAAAAAGCCATTGCAGGATCGTTACCTTTAATACACTTTTCTATATCTTCACAGACTTCGTCCCAATATTGTCCTTGACGCTGGTCAGTCATTATACTTTGGCTATTTTTCTCAGGCGTTTATAGTTATTTTTATATTTGAGCTCAGATGTTGAGCCACGATTATTCTGCCAATCAACGAATGCTAATGATTTTTCATCAAGAACTTTCAGAATATCTGATGTCATCCACTCTTTGCTTTTTGTCTTTTTGTCTACTCGAAAGTGATGCTGCGACTTCTCTTTAAGCTGCTCCAGCAACAGCTCATACCTCTCATCCATGTTAGTTGTGTCATCCTTTGCATCATTAATTATATTGCTCAGATCTTTTTGAAACGCTTCCAATATTTTGTTATCTTTTAACTTACTGACATCAACGTTCATTCTCTTCTTATTGATATTTTTTTTCTTCTCCTCTTCAGATGCATTCTAATCTTGGCACGCATTATATGATGATCAGTTCCTATGAAACCTGCTGTTCTTCTAAACATTCGAACGTCCTCGACGCTCGATCTGAATCTTTTGTTCACAAGTGTATAATCAATCATGTGCCATATCTTATTTCTTGGATGCATCGAAGATGTTCGATGCACTGGCTTGTACTTGAAGAATGAGTTTGATATTATGATGCTGTTGATCTCACAAAAGTCAATTCGTCTGGATTCATTTTCATTTTCTATGTCCACCGTAAATGACCCAATACTACTTTTTTCTGTCTGTTGTTGTTGATGATGATGATTTTGTCCTAGTAGGCATTTAGATCACCCATAATAATAACCATATCGTTTGTTGCTACGTTGTTTATTGTATCTTATAGATCAGCATAAAATTTATCACTTTCGATAGCCATTTCATTTGTTGTTGGATTAATTGGAGAGTATACAGCAATCACATTAACATAGATACGTATGCATTGTAATCTAATTTTGATAATTCGTTCATTTATTGGTTCCCATACGCTTCCTGAATCTTTCCAAACGTTTGTCGCAGTTTGACCAAAGGCAGATCTGTACACCATGAGCTTTTAGTGTTTTTGTTTCATTTGATGTACCTAAATAGATCATTGTATAGTCGTTGACTAATTTTACACCAGAACCACACATACATGTTTCTCTTAGTGCGCCACTTGTATTCGATATTATTTCAATTGCTTGATTATCATTTCTTCCTTTGATTGTTTCACACAAGATCTAACATTCCATTCGCCGAAGAAGGCATGATTTTGTGCATTTACGTACCGGTTATGTTTCTTTTCGTTTGCAAGAGTTGTTTAGTGTCCAGCTAGAAGTTACTAGCCTCATGACCAGAGAATTGGCTACCGGCAGCCCAAGGTCGCCTCCCACAAATACTCGTAAATATTTGTGAGTCCCCTGTGAAATTTTAGAAACATTTTCGGCAGGCATGCGTTTGCCATAGGGTCTACAAGGGGGCGTAAGGGGATTGGGTCTGTAATGGGGGACATAGAAAATGAAAATGAATCCAGACGAATTGACTTTTGTGAGATCAACAGCATCATAATATCAAACTCATTCTTCAAGTACAAGCCAGTGCATCGAACATCTTCGATGCATCCNCGGGGAGGGCGCAAAAATCTCGCTCTTAAACTTACACACCATTTTCTTCGAAAATATATGTGATTTTCACAAAAGTGTACACATGAATATAGTTACGAACATCCTGCCTCTTTTCATTACGCTCTTCATGTTTTCATTGTTACGATCATCCGGTCATATTCATCCCGAACGCCACCGAAATTTCAGATTTTTATTTTTCAAAAATACTGCTGTCCGTTATGGTCTACTGGGCAGCTTTCATTCCGAACACCCTGGTTGCTTTTAAATTTTGTCATTCTCAAGAGCATGTATGTTTTTAAATGTCGGAAAACCGTAACGAACATCTCCTTACCCAAATCGTAATGAAAAGTTAGTGCGAAATGTCTCTTTCTCTAAAGAATTTGCGCTACTTTGATTTTTTCCAATATTATCCTCTTGCTCGCCCTCAGGAATAAGTGAAAAAGTCGATTTCATCAGACACATCTTGAAACTTATAGAATAAGCTTTTCACTACGGATGTGCGCGTGCTGTTCATCAGAGCTCCAAATCCTACACACACACACACGCACACCCATACCCGCAAAGCGGTGTCCTGAACAGCTGACACTATTTTTGAATACATCCAAAGAAATTACGTGGCTGACGTTAATCATAGTGTTTACTGTTACGTTTTGTCCATTGGTTATAGAGATGGGTCTCGTCAAGCTGATATTTATTACCGTAGACATCGATCGGTTTTCGAAATTTTTTTTAATGTCGCATGAGACAAGTGTGCTAGAACATACTCGAATTGGATAGCAGACGTGCATATCGATGGAAATATTAGTAGAATTCATGGTCGCTTCATTACACAGATCAATACCATGTATTTCAAGCGGGCGATTGAGATATATCTCACCAATTGAAATAATGCGGGGTCGTGACTCAAATACTGTTAACCAATATAAACTAATGGGTTTTTGTCTGATTAGTAGTGCTTTCCCAAAATACAGTATACAACAGAAAAAAAAGACAAGAACAGTGAAAATTATTGAATGTAATTTGTGTTTTGATGTTTTCTTGGAATTTTCGCTTATCTCAGTAGTAGGTTTGAGACTTGTTTGCAATGTTGCAGCGGATGTTATCGTAATCGGATTAACTTGTATAAATAAGTAGGAAGCGGTGAAAATTACAACTGTACCCAAATAGGATATTAATCTGCCTTTTAATTTGAATAATACCACATTCAAATACATAAGCACTCCAGTGGCGCATGCTGAACTAAAAGTTTTTACTATGGCATCAGCGTACTTATAAACAAATGTTATAGCTATGCCAAGTATGGAATTACAAATGATAATCGCAATAACCCAAAATGAATATCCTTCAAAAAATTGTTTTTTTTCCTGAAATTCTGAATAACCATAATAAACGCAAAAGAATGAAACCAGATTTAATGCAAATCCAAAGAAGTAAAGTATGAAATTTTGCTTATGAATATCCACAGAACATGTTTTCACTAGTCTCTCATTCCACACTGAACATACTGCCGTTACTAAGGTGCTGCCAACCAACATGAAATAATACTTTCCTGAAAGCAATGGTATATCCTTGCAAGTGTCGTACTGAACTATACATAAACCAATAACTTGAAGCACAACACAGCTCCACTCGTGTTTGTTGATAACACGTCCAAAAAAAAGCCACAGTAAAATAGCTGATTCAATGGATGAGAAAGATTTGAACATTGAAATCGATGCAATATCCACGTGTCGAAACAGTATAAAAGCCAATTGGTTGTTAATCGCATATAATAGTGCCAGTCCGAAAGTGCTCAAAAGAAAGTTACGTGAGATTTCATTCAAAAAAGCGGAGCCGTACTCATAAATTCGTTGAATGGGATTCCCTATCGATTTAGAGCAAATTTCTGAGTAGTAACTAGAGGTGGATAATAGGGAAAAACAAGCACTCATAAACAACTTGACGAACTCTGCAGATGCGATCGCCGACAATGGAGAGTATGCATAGTCACCTTTGGTTTGAGAAAATTTGTAAACGACCGACACAACTATTTGAACGATAAGTAATGCTATAAATGCCAATAATTTTAGACCAGTTGCCATTTGAAACCTAAAACCAATAACATTTATACAGTTACTGAGATACGAATCCATAACACAGGGGCTTGTAAGATACCCACGCGACATATCACCATTTTTTCAATTCAACTTAGTCAAATTTCAAATGGAATGAAAGTTGCCGTTCAGACAAGCATTTTCATACTAAATCCACAAGGTAACGCGACGTTTCCGTCACCAACCCTCTACTGAAAGGATTTAGTCATGTGGAACGTAGCTATCCAAAATTATCTAGCTGAGAGACTTCACATTTTATAGCTTCGAAATGATTTTCATGGAAAACACGATTGATAACCGAGCATAAATAGAAAACTTGCTTGGAAGTATCACCAAGAAAGCGGCATTTAATTACTACTTACT